TTATATATATATATATATATATATATATATATATATATATATGTAAAACCCTTTCAACATATTACGTGTCCTATGCCATTTTGTCCTTTGTTTCAGGGCGATGATGGTGTAGTCGGCTGTTATTACCATGCACTTTCGGGTATCGTTCGTGTTCGAGCAGCCTACAACACTGAGGATGGACGATCCACTGTCTTTTACAACGGGCCCGACGAAGTAAGTCGGTTTATTGTTCATTTTTGCGCCTACCGTTTTAGAGAGTCCTCGTGCATCTTTATGAACTCCTATAAATCTTGTTCAGCACGCATCATTGGTACGCATAGAGTGCACCCAAGTCAAATACGCTCATCATCATCATCCTTCTCACAATGTGCATAAAAATGTCTAAAAATAAGAAGAATGTGAATCCAATAGCCGGTAGAACTAAGCGTGCATTCGTAGAATCACACGCACACATACACAGTACTCACAGTTTGATTGCTCATTAAATTGTCACCTTATATTCATTGATTTCCGCTCTTTGCTATACTTTTTTTCGTACCATCGGATTAAAAGGCCCTTTGGACTCGAGTCCTGTATGGCTAGCAAGTCATGTGCGATAGATTAATTGATGACGTATTCTAGTCTCCTTGGCTACTGAGATCCGCTTACCAATAGGTTCGTGATGGGGCTCAGTCTTCAGTCTTCCTCAAATGAATCCGTTTATTTCCTTTCTCTGAACAGCTGAAAACAGTTTACAGGTAAAGAAGCAAACATTGAAAAGACAGCTTCCCCCTATTCACTTAGTCAGTTGTTTTGACGTTATGACGAGCGATGTTCGCCGAGGCAGGCAGGAGTGGAAGAAAGTTAAGGGTGGTCGAGCTAGGACCTGGCATGAAGGTATGAAAACCCTAACTAGGAGTCTGGGTCCCGTAGGTCCCGTTAGGTTCCCTGGATGATCAGGATGATCATACCCGGTGGTTAGAGACACTGGGTGATATGGCTGAGTGTCGTAAACAATGGCTTTCGTGCATCTTGTCAATTTCTCTGCAACATTAGTCCACTGAAATCCTAAATTTTCTCCTTGATTCTACTTTCAACCTTTCCTGTCTTCCTCCGTATGTTCATACAAATTGGCAACCAAAGGACAGCAACCAAAACCGGCACACGATAGTACATGGTCAATGATTGTACAAACTAAACTGAACTATGGTAAAAGATGGGTTTATTGGGCTCTGGCTGGTGCACACCGTTTCTCACTTTGATCAGAAATGGGGTAGGTAGAATGACTGGGCGGGTGTCAACATTCGTCATTCGAGAAGATCAATCCCTACATCCCGCTCCGTCCAAACGTAACCGACAGATGCAGACAACATTTGGGACCAAAATACATGACTGATTGTAAATCGGATGCATCGAGAACATACATTTTCCGTACGGTTATTCATTCGCAGATGCTCTGGCTGCATTGTTCACTCAGCTGACAGACCAGTTCGTTCAACACAGAAAAGAAGAAAGACCGAGCGGACCACGCAATTATGCGACTAAGTACTGCATACCGTGACATTGTGCCTCGTCCCGTAGACAATTGATGACCGCGTTCTACAGATCGGTATCTATTTTAAACAGAAAAAACGGATGCGCAACAAGCCAAGACATCAATCACATTGTTGTCATCGGTTGCATTCTGAAAACAGACGGATTTGATTGTGATACTTTTACACGAATTCCATCTGGATTTATGATGGATACTTTACGGTTCACGCTTCAGCACCTATAAATCCACACATCTGTCAAATAGACAATACCACTGGTGTATGAAGACCGACGTGCTATACATACAAACACGCGTTATTGTTCTGTTAATGACTGATTTGTGATTTAATCATCAAGACATCAGATAGGTTGCATCGTTCACAGGAATAATATAGTACGTATATGAGACATAAAAATGGACTTATTTGACAGGCAGTCGTGTGCACTAAAACGAGTGTGTGACGCCTTTCTCTTATGACAGCTTTTTGCCTCACGCTTATAGATCGATACAATTTGGGCGCGGCTTGACAACGGTCATTGTCTTTGATCTTTTTCTTCGGATTAGTTTACTTTAATTGACCCCTATTTCCCATCTCTTCTTTTTTATGCTTCTTTGAACACTTTTGAACCGGTGTTCTTTCTCAGCTGTCAATCACGTCCAGATAAGTTCACATTTACTAGGACTTGATTTGCGCGACTAATGAACACTGTCTGTATTTCACACACGTCTGAGTTCAGACCGTGTGCCAAGCAAATCACGGTACAATAATCTTTGGAAAAAGCGAAAATTCCATGATTTGCTTGTGGGCGTGATACTTCCGGGTTGTCCAGGCCAAGGCAGATGAATTTTCTTGAGGAATTCACAACCGGAGCCTTTGGCTAGCCAAAGCCTAACTCGCAAACCAGCGGAACGGTGTACGAAAACCGCAATTCATTGGGGGTCGGTGTCCAATTCATCGGATCATACGCCTTTCGGACGGGGTCACACGTCTCAGGTACCCGATACACCTTGATGCCCAATTGAGCCGGTGACCATTGTCACAACCGAAAAGGTGTGTGCGGTTCGTACGCATCCTCTTTGTTGGTTTAGAATCAGGGTTTTTGGCCAACTCCCCTAAGTGAACTACTAGTGGTCCACCAATCCGGTTATAGCCTCAGATGTCCGCTTTTTGGTTGGAAACACCTCCACGAGAAGGCAGTGATTAGGGCTTCCTCAGCAGAGGCTATTTAAGACGCTTGGTCGTATGGGAACATTTTGTGAGGTGCAAGGGAAGCGGGACCAACCAGAACCCTAGACACCCAACCCCGACCATACTGAGGCTTTCGGAGGCTGTTTAACAAAAAACCCGCAGTGCTTTAGCTACGACCAGCAATCCGCCTACCGTGGTGTGCTTTTATGTCCCCATCACCGACAGATCAAATGCCGCATGACGGTACTACAGAGGAAACCTAAAATGCCCTATTCCTGTGAGTAAATACGTCATTGTTTTGCATTTAGAAGCCCTAAAATAAACCAAAATGTGATACCACGTGAAGTGAACCCCACTCCTGAAATGTGGATACATTACCAAGCCGATGGAAGAAGTTTTACTAACGGGGTGGACGAGGTGGACGGTGTTTATTATCTACGGACTGTCTACCTCTCGAAACGGAGTTCGGTTTAATTGGAGCTACGGCACCAAAGCGTTCCTTTTTTATTGCACCACTTCTTGATTCGTGTCAAGGCTTGTGAATGCAAAATAATGTACTGTTTTTCATGTTGCGTTTGAGATTCTTACTCACAAGAGTATCGCATGTTATACGGAAACACTGAAGGAAATATGCGCATGATTTGACGATACATGCACGTTGTTTGAACCTTCCCCAATCGACATGTGATGCAGCATGTGACTGCCGCACCTTCTCATTTCCTAATCAAGTTTTGCAACATCAACATTTGTAGAAAATAAAATATTTCGACATTCGTTGACCTCAGAATATTCCGATGTTCTTTGACCTGACTCGTCTACAGCGATATGGCTGAAGTTTTTGCGATGAGGCTAAAGAACTACTGGTTGTGGCAAAAGCATTGTGAGTTTAAGNTAAGCTGAAGGATTGGGGATCAAAGCAAAAGCATTGCGGGGTTGGGCCAAAGGAATATGGTTCCAGGCTAAGGAACTTCGGGTTTTGGCTAAATCTTGGTGGGAAAAGGTGTAGTTTTGAGCGTACTTTTGAGTACTGAACGGACCTACTCTAAAGAGTTAATCATACACGTATCTCTCGTAGTAAACTACTAATTCCAAGTCTCCAGGTCACTAGTTTTCATAAGTTGAAACAGTAAGTTCTCCGGGCTGTCGAATTCATTCGTACTATCCCTCTTTTAGGTATCAGTAGACGTTTGCAGAACCTGCTGCTTATCATTTTTTAATACATGAATAGGTTTTCAGTCGAACCAAATCGCAGATAATCTTCACGTTCTCAGGATGTCAGGGGATCTGGATGGTTATGATGAATTCAATATTGTATGCTGCTGTGATCAGATGTCTTAACAGTTATACACGTGCCAGACTCATTGAATGCACTTCCGAAGATCAGGTCGCTTTTTGCCAGCCATCCAGAAGACGGCTCACACATGCGCCAAACCAGCTTGCTTGTCTTTCTGCTTGAAATACCCGTTTGTTCATCCCGCCAGTATGATTTGGTAGTGATTCGATATCTTCTCAAGGTCAGGCAAATGTCACCGGGCGTGTAGCAGTGGTACCCAAAATGGATAACATATTTTCTCCTCTAAGTTAGTATTTAAGAGGAAAGATTCATTTTTCGGTCAATGGTGTATATAGTTGTGCTGCCCCAACATAAGGAGTGAAAATAACATGTGAACAATCTTAGTCATTGCAACCCGCCCAATCGGGTTCTTATTTTTTTTGGCTAGCGAACCGAGATGACACCTGTTCATGGCATACTTGGCACGATCACTCCTTTGAAGCTGCGTGTGCGTCATTCTTCAGACCGCGTTCTGTGTGTACTGATTTGCTGCTCTCTGTATATGTCACTGTTCGTTTTCCGAAACTGTGGTAGAGAATTTTTCTCTCGTTGGATAAACACGTTTACGAAACATTTATTTCACGGAATAAACTTTTCTGTCATGCAATGATGTCGCTACTCAAACCATTTCAATGTGGTGGCCCAAAACCACTGTCGACGGTTAATGCTCAACAAATATTTCACCGGTTAACATTCAAAATAAAATCCGATAGGCGAAACAAGCTGTTTTTTACGATAATTCACCAACCGGCTATTGACAATTATATAGGTCAAACATTTAATATTGTTTGATCCAGTCCGAGGTGGATCTTATTACACTGTGTACAGAGCTTCCCTTTGGCTACAACGTTCTTCTAGGTAACACGCTTAAATCAGTTTGTGTCTTGACAATATGGTAGAAATAATGCATTGAAAAAAAGCTGCTCATTGCATTGTGGGACTGCTTCAGCCGTACACAGTAAGGATCACGCTTATTGATTTAGATGATAACAAGGTATACAATAACAGGTTTTGAACGCCCGACCTATGTCCACTTGGTGATTAGTTTCGAGCAGCTGTTGACCTATCGCGCTTTCTGCTGTCCTTGTTTCTCCTTGTGCCAACCAACGAGGGTGGAGTTCCCTTATT